ATTAGTTACCGTTTTTGCAGGCTTTGTTCAACCCATAGAAATCTACAGGGTGGTCGAGTGTACCAATTTAATCGAAATTAAACGACCTCATGCATTTATTTTTATGATATTTAGTATGTTATAAAAATATCCCTAGACTTTTCCGATGTGTGTATTTTATGTATATAAGAACAATTTTTATTTGTTATTCGGCAATACTGTCCTGTGAATGGGAAAGTGTAGGGCAATAAAAAGCAATGCTTATTATTATTATTACTATTATCAACAATGGTTATTATCTGACTGTTCAGAATCGTGCAAGTAAATCTTTAAAATACTAGAACAGTGGTAATGACGGAAGATGATTTGGGTTTATGACGAAGTCGTCGAGTGAAGTCAAAGTTAAAGAAGGCTGGTGAAGTAGAGGAATGTAGCAGCGCCGGACCGCATTCCAAGTTGCCGCCACGTCAGTGTGTGCCTGAGGCTTTACACCCGGCATATCCAAGATACCCCAGTGGAGTACGCAGAACTGGGTAGTTTTAAGAACTCATTTTCGATTTCTTGTTGATTTCAAAATCAGATTCTCTGAAAACATTTTTAGCTGATACCTGAATAATTTATTCATAGACTCTACATATTGACAATAATAATAATAATGAACGTTTGTATTACCGACGATTTTTTCAAAGTTGTAGATGATGAGAACTTGATCTATTTGGTACTTTCGGATTATAGCAAGACCTTTGACACTCTTGATCACGAGATATTGTGTGACAAACTTGTCTACTATGTTTTTCTCGTAATGCAGTGTCACTCACTGTCAGAAGAATCGTACTCAGAGTAGTACTTGTGGATGAAGTTGTATCGGATGCTCTACCAGTTTGAAAGTGAGTGCCACAAGGATCTTTCCTTGGACCTTCGCTTTTTAGCTTGTATACCTGAGATTTTCATATGTTAGTGAAAAAATGCAATATACAACACTATGTCGACGACACGCAGTTATATTTGTCTTTTCCGCCTCGTAATTCGACATCTGCTCAGTAATATATTAATAACGATCTTCAAGCCATCTTTGGCATTTCTACAGCCCATAAGCTCAATCTTAATAAATCTTCAATAATGATATTTGTACCTAAGAAAAACGGAGAGCTCACCAAGTCCACTTTTCAACTCAGCACCAAAAATGAAATCATTCCCTTCGTG